TTATGTGTGAACAATGCTACACTTTTAAATAGTTTAATTTCTAAGTCATATACAGAAATTATTCCACAAGGTGACACCATTGCGGAGCTCACCGTGTGCACAATAGCCCAGCCCCAGCTTAATGTCATGGCTCTTCCGCTGTGGGAGCAGAGGCTGGATGTTTACACTCAACACGACGGGCTAGGCACAGCCTCGACCGGGCACCGTGGAGGATGCACGCAGTTGAACTTTCAGGTGGGAAAGCAAAGAGCGAGAGCAACGCATGTGGCACTGTTGCGGAGCTCACCATATGTACAATGGCCCAGCAGCAGCTTAATGTCATGGCACTGCTGCTGTGGGAGCAGAGGCTGGACATTCGTACTCAACACGACTTCGTAGGCACAACCTCTCACAGGCACTGTAGACGATGCAGACAATTGGACTTTTAGGTGGGAAAGCGACAATCGAGAGCACTGCCAGTGGCACCGTTGTGGAGCTCACCACGTGCAGAAGAGGCCCAGCAGCAGCTTTCTGTCTTGGCTCTTCGGCTGTAGGAGCAGTGGCTGGATGATCATGCTTAAACACTACTGGTGCGGGACAGCCTACACCCTGCACCGTAGAAGATGCATGTGATTAGACGTTTAGGTGGGAAAGCAAGGAGCAAAAGCAATGCCAGTGGCACTGTTGCAGAGCTCGCCTTGTGCAGAAGAGGCCAAGCAGCAGCATTTTGTCCTGGCTATTCAGCTGTGGGAGTAGGACACAGACGTTCATGCTCTATGACCCTGATTATGGGACAGCCTGAACCAGGCACGGGAGAGGATGCATGCAATTGGACGTTTAGGTGGGAAAACAAGGAGCAAGAGCAATGCCGGTAGCACTGTTGTGGAGCTCACCGTGTGCAGAAAAGGCCCAGCAGCAGCTAAATATCCTGGGTCTTTGGCTGTGCAAGCAGGACCCGGACATTCGTGCTCTGTGCCCCGGAGAATGGGATGGCCTCAACTGGGCTCCATAGATCATTGCCTGGGTTCAGCTACAACAGTCATTTTTTCTCCTTCTTAGTAGCTGGTGCAGTGCTGTGGTTTTGACATTCAGCCTGGGAACCGATGTTTTTTTCCTTCATGCAACCCGAATTTAGGCCAGTGTAATTTGTCTGGCCTTATGGGTTCCTTGGTCCATTCAAACATACAATAGTTTATCATTTTCACCTTAACCTTAGCCCTGGTGCAGGATTCCCCCTCCTGCCGCCAATATAATAACATCTTCCCTAATGGACTGTCTGGAGGTGTTGGCTTAATTTTGATAGGTAAGTATTGCTTTGAACTGGTTTGCTCTGTTTTTCAGTATACTGAAGGTTGCCTCTAACTAACGTCTGTGTTTGCTCTGCACCGCCAAAGTCATCCTCACATAAAGAGTTAAGTGAGCCAATTGATTCAAGCCTGGTCAGCCTGATGATTGTTCTGTCTAATTCACTTTCTGCTGGGGTTGCTTTTGTCCATCAGCCTTTGTGATGAAAACCAAAGGCAGCACAACACGGTGGCAAGTCACTGTGCCAGCAAGGGTCACTAACAGGTTATCTTCCTGGGCACCCCAATTAACTGCAGCTCTTGTCACATGTGAGCTAGTGGATGGATGCTTGTGTGCACATTGATTAGGATTAAACACAAATCTTATCCCAGGGTATCTTGTCAATGAAAACAGAGAAGGTATAAACAACTGCCCTGTGACTCATGTCATCAATAGCGTTATTAGTGCACCGAACCTCAGGCTACAAGGAAATTTCAAGTGTGGGAGCAGGGGCTGGATGTTTGCACCCTGAGAGCTGAGCTCCAGGACACCCGAAAGCTCTCAGCAGAGGGGCATTATACATATGGAGTTTTATGTGATTAGTTTCATGGTGGATTGCCATGTTGGTGGCACCATTCCGGAGCTCTCATTTGTAGGCAATGCCCAGAACCAGCTTTCTGTCCTGGAATCTTAGGCATGGGAGCAGGGGCTGGATGTTTTCACTGTTGGAGCTGGGCTCTGGGGTGCCTGAGAGAGCTCCCCAGAGAGGGATAACACTATTCATTGCAGCCTTTATCCTTAATGACTGTCCCTGTGCCTTTTAATATGTCCGTTTTAATTTGTTGTAGCAAAATGCTCTAGCAAGGTGACATTTTATAGCTGGTCATTTGCAGGTACAGCCTGTGTTTATCTGCCTTGGCCATTGCTACTTTCTTAGTACCTGGAATCCCAAAACCAGGGTACTGAATGGTCAGCAATCAGCGCGAGGCATTTTTTCTTTCCATCTCCTTTCAAATTTCTCTTTTTCACAGCTCTGCAGCAAGTGGTCAGAAACCTAAGTACATTCCTGATAAAAGACTGAGTTTCAGATGTTGCATTAGATCAATCTCTGTGATTTTTTTTATTGTAGGCTGGAATGTTTTGCTTGCCTGTGTCATGGCCAGTGTCTCAAAGTGGGAGAGACTCATAATCCCAGGATCTGCTTGGGTGTGACTGTCCTACTCTGCTCAGGAGTAGATAACTGACAGTCTATTGAGAGTTTATTATATGTCAATAAAGAGTTTAGATTACCATTTAGATTAATGGATTACCAAAGAAACACTGTGTGAATTCCTTATAAAGCTCCGTCTTTGCACTGGAAACATAGATCTCTGAGTACCAGGCAGTCTGAGTGCTTAGAAGAAAAGCAGTAGTCTGAGAGACAGGAAAAGAAAGATTAAGACCAAATATATTCAAATATATTACAGTATATTCAGATTAGGAAAGGCTATACTTTGCAAGCACTATGAAAGGCTTTATTTCCTTTACAGTCCTTGCAGTCCTTTTACTCGTGCACAGCTCTCAAGCAGTCTATGTTCAGGTGAGTTTTCTGCTCTTTAGTTTGTTGGTGTTGCAAGTACTGATACCATGTGAAGTGGCTGCAACAGGAATCTTAACTAAACTAATAGACCTGAAGTTTTGCTCTGCTCTGGCTTGATATCCAACTTAATCTCCCTGTAGTTCTGTTTTTCTTTCTGTAAAGTGCTTTGGGCATTACTAAAATGGTGTAGTTTAACTTCAGCAGCCTTATCACTGCTTTGAAATCCCTCGCTGACTGAGGCATTGTGTTTCTTTTGAACATAACCTCGTGTGTTGTGAAGCTGCAAGACTGGTAACACCTCTAAAATTATATAATGGTGCTGCTTCTAGGCAGGAAGTTCTTTATCAAAATGATCTGCTTATGAGATGAAGCTTACACAAATATCGTTAAAAAAAAGTGAAAGTAATGCTTAGCTGAAACCACTGAAATATTAGCAGGCAGATGAGGTATTAGAGAAGGCTATATCAAATTTTTCAAGATATGCAGCACTCTTGTGTGTCTTGGAAGCAGTTAAGAGATTCAATACTCTTGTCTGTACCTGGGAGTGTGTTGGATCTGCCTGCACTCATCCTTAGAAACAGTTAGGGAGATTTTGGTTTGTTTGAAATGTAAGTAACTTCCTCTGACTACCAAAAGAACCAATATTTCTTAAACAATTGTTGACTCTGCATGTGTGCAGTAGGTTTCCTGGTATAAAGTACTATTTTTGTGCCTTGAAATATCTTTTTTTTTTCTCCTTTGGATGTCAGATATATCCAGAAATAGTAGGTATAAGCTATTCCTTTCTTCCAAATCACTGTTTAACATTTAGAACAGATAGCTTCCTACTTAATGGAAAACATTCGTTTTCCACTGGAAGCATAAAAAATAACCAAATGATAACAGCTGTTGGGTAAAAGTGTAGAAAATGCAGCTCTGTAGTTCTAGATCCTCTTTGTAGTTTAAATTCTTATCTCATTAATCATTAAATCTGTATTTTTTCCACATATATGTGCAGTGTACTCTGCAAGTGTGTCCTCTCACTTGGGCTAATTGAGGTCCCATAAGGTCTAACTAAAAGTAATTAGTGAACAAGGCTGGCTTATGCTCTTGTTCATTTAACAAAATGTTTTGCAAGGCAGAAGTTCGTTTGACTTTATATAATGCTTTTGAAGACTGGGATTCACTATCTTGACACCTTCCCTCATAGATCTTGAATTAGTATAATGGAAATTGGAGGAAGATGGTTTACTAGATGTGGAGTAAACCCAGAAAAACTACAGAAGTGGATTGTTCTGGCCTGCACTATTTCTGTGTTAAAATCTCTTAGTTCAGCAACACAATATGCATTTTCACCTTGGAGGGAAGATGCTGCTCCTATTGAACTTGAACTTGCTTTAGTAAATCTTTCCTAGAAATCTGAGGTGGTGGGTTGTTTTAGTTTTTTGTTGATCCTTTGTTGTTTTTCTTGTCACCAGGACATACATGTCTCAGGGTTCATTTCTACTTTCTGTTTTCTCTGAAACTGAACCTGTGGAAAACCATTGCTTTATAGTTGTCAGTTTTATACTTCTGAGGTCTGTGATGAAGGGCTGAATCTAGAACTGTATTTAAACAAAAAAATTAATATTTCATAGGCAACCGTGACCAACAAATTAACCTGAGTAAAATCATAAACCGATTGCAGGTAGGAAAGAACTGACTAAGTAAATGCATGTTGCTGGTTGCTGGTTGGTGTTGGTTATTTTTTTAACAACCAAAACTCCATTATTCCGTAAAAAAACCCCAACCAACAAAAAAAACCAACCCAACAAAACCAACCCCACCCTCCACTCCCCTCCACCCAAATCCAGCTACAGCCCTCCACCCCTCCAATCTCACGCTATTCAACACTGGGCTCATGAGACTGTGAAACAAGCGGCAATATTTGGCCTCATGCTGTATCAAAGTCATTTCACTTTATTTCTTTGAATGAGTAGGTGTTACTTATCCTACTGACTATATGTTGTCCATTAAACTAGCTTAAAACACATACTAAAGATAAATTTGAAAACGCTTATTTCTCTTCTGGGCCAAACTGATTATCTGCAGACAGACACAGACTTTATATGCCTAGCTTAATTGTTGCAATACCTGCAGTTTAAGTCTATAACCTCATGAGTGGGATTCACTTGAAACTGAGATGCAGAGGGTTTAGCAATATAAAACATGGAGTAATACTTCCCAGAATACTGTACCAGCCTTCTGAAGCTTTTGGTATGAGCTTTGAGTCAGAAATCTCATATTTATGTTGCCAATAATTTGTGTTCCGTTAACATGTGGACAAGTTTTAAATTAAAGAAAACTCGCCACAGTACCTTGGCATGAGTGATTTCAGCTCTTAACAATGTCTGATATGAAGGAATAGCTCTTTTTGCTTGGTTAGATCTTGCCACATGACAGCCAATGCTTGAATTTCTTCACTGGTGTATTAGAAGACTGCAAAAATCAAACTAGCAGTTACCTCCATTCAGCTTATGATTTTATAAGTCTCTACCATGTGTTGCCAAGTCATCTTTTCTAGCTGAAGATTACCAGCCTGTATCTTTCAACCCCAGATTTCATGGGTGTCTCTCTTGGGAGTGAGAAATGCACAAAGTCTGCCACCATCCACGTACCGAAAATTATGACTGGCCAGCTAGGTCTCACTGTTGCTCTTTGCTGTGAAGAACTGACCATTTTGCTTTCAGTTAACACTGATTTTATACAGGCTTTGTTTCAACGCTTTCTTTTTCCTATAGCAGAGTTCCAGGAGACCTCATTGTTGAAACAGTATAGCCTTAGCCTAAGTCTCACTTCCTGATGCCTTTTTTTTCTGGTTCTGTCTACGTAGGATGGAGACTTGAAATTCTCCCTAGAGTCTGTGAAGAAGCTAAAGGAGCTTATGGATCAGAAAAGATACTTTAACCCTCGCGTTGTGGTTTCAATGGCTAGCTACTCTCCATGTGATGAAAAAGATCTCCCTGAGGAGTTCCAATCTGTGTGCAAACGAGAAGACGCATCCACTGTTTTTGAGAGGCTGAGTATGTAGCTCATATTGCATAGCTGCCATTATTGTCACAATTTTCAGCCTCAGACATTCAAGTAGTAGGAGGGAAAGAAACATAATTCTTGCTCTGTCTTCTAAAAGCGGATGAGAAAGTCCAAGCTGCCTTTCTATCCCTCTTACAATTGTTGGCCAACACTGGCTGTGAACACCCTACCAGACAATTCCTGATGTGCTGAGCTTAGCTGTAGCCTGCACAGATTAGGCTGCTGTAACCAGGAAAAGCTTCCTCCAAGTAGGTGCATGATGACTTGCACAATTTAAGTGAGAGAGCCTCCTATATCCTCTGGCTTACAGGAAAACCTGGGATATATCACTCAGTTCTAGCAAACTACAAATTCTGAATGGGTCTAATTGCTCTTTCTAATCAGCGTAGAAGGTGTTTTTCCAGGCAGCCAAAAAGAGGCATGAGATCTAAATGAGGTCAATCAGTCTTTGACAGTGTCTGTCATGTACTGATTTTTGAGTAGGCTGCTACAGCTTCTGGGGTTTTTTTAAATTCATTTTGTTGTTTTTATCTACTGTCCAATACAATGTCACTTTAGAAAACATGGTACTAAATATAATGAAAGTTGTGATTCTACAAGTCACATCCCCACCACCCTCCCAGTTATTCTCTTGCCTCCACATTCCTATTGTTTCCCCAATGAATTCACGTTTGATTTCATTCTTTTGGCCAGGGTTTTGCAAGAACTCATTTTACTTAAACCAGTAATAACTTCAAAGAACATTAAAACTCATAAAACAGTGATAGAAATGTTACTGCAAAAGTCGGTCAGAGAAACTCTCTAAGACTCAATGTGGAGTTTTAGAAAGCAGTCATTCTTTATTGCACTCCTGGGTGCTTACACAAATCATTTCGCAAAGGTGAGCACACCCATTACTTGTCAGCAGTGGCTATATATTTAGTATACTCATGCATATTTACAGCTTTTCTGGGAAAATTATTCACATATTCATGAGATTGGCAGGAACTAATTATAATATTTGCACTCTAATTGCTCCTGCGCTTTCTTGTGGAGTGGGAGTCTCTGGTCATAGCTGATTGTCTTTCTCACTGTTTACTGAATGACCCCAGTGCTTGCGCATGCTCGCAATGTCCTAGTGCTGAGTTAGAAAATGGTACGTCCTTGCTTTTGTTCTGTTCCACTGTCTGTTATCTTGAAGGTTAAGGTCCTTGGTCATAACTACCTCCTTAGCTGTTATCAGTGCCTTGATGTTCCTTCCCCCATAAGCCGGATATTCCTTAATCCCTACATGTTATCAAGTTAGGACAGTTTGCTGTATTTTACCAAGTTACTTTAAAGCCACACACACTATTTTTAGTTAAACCTACAATTTAAGCCTACAGAAAGGAGTCATCAAATCCCTTGATATGTGGCTCTGCTCTCCAAGAAAGTTTCTTGCCAATCCACTGAAATCCCCTCTTTTCTCTCTAACAGACCTGGTTGTCCAAGATACTGATTTGTGTGAAATCTGTGCCAATGCTGCCTGCGCTGGTTGCTTTTGAGTGAAGATGAAACAATCCAAAGAACATGTGTCAAGCTAAGAAGTTTGTATATTCTTATGGCAAGATCACGTGCTTTCACAAATCACTATTTGGTCTCCATCTCCACTACAGTCAAACTGGAGCTACTAGCTCATGTGCTTGCCTACTTGCTTTTCTTCTATGTAAGATCTTTCATGTCTGGGTCTTCACTGGAATAAAAGATGTGTTGTTGATATTGTCCTGAACTTAAACCAATTTGTGGTCCTTATATGGATCATAGTAATGTAAGATTACATCATAGCTTTTAAATTATTCCCAATTAAGAACTGTAACTGTTTAATTATTATCTCTCTTTCACACATATGTGGCCTTCAACTCAGCAACCAACTTTTCTGAGGACTGTCACAGCCATAAACTAAGCACTTATCCCAGGAACCAGATGCCTAAAATCCACAACTGATGTTTGAAAATAATGTTAGGTGTATTAATTCGTGTTTCATTTGTCAGAAAAGCTATGTGGTTGCAGAAAAGAATTCCTCACATCTGGTATGTTGACACAAAACATCCAGTAGCAATTGCCGAAGGAGAGTCTCACGCTAAGGCTCTTTCTGCTGGCTCAAAATTGGCAACTCTGGGAAAATGGATTTCCTGAGTCTAAACACTACCTGGGCTTATTTTAACCCTAAAGTTATTCCTCTGCATATAGAAATGTGGCTTAACTTTTTCTCTTAAAACTAACTTGTCAGATCATTTACTCTTATCACAACAGCTTGGAGTGGCTCAGAGAGGACATTTTGCAGGGGAGACTTGCTGGCAATAAGAACCAAGATGTGTCCCTGCTGGAATGGAGACCCTCATGAGTTCTCCCATGAGTCTTCTGCCCCTTTCTATACACCACAGACTAATTTCGGTCGAGTGTACAGAGCAGTGTCTTGGCACAGAGAAAAAGGGTTAAAGGAGGGCAACGAACCTCTGTTTTGCTCTTACTGGATGAGATTTTTAGCAACTGGGGGATTATAGAGAATGAGTGTTATGTCTCTGGAGAGGAAAAGCGGAGGGGCACCCAATAAAATAAAGAAACCAAGAAAGCCAGGAAACAATAGGCAGGAGTGGAGCTCGTGTTTGCAGCAGGCTGTGAAAAGCCCACTAGGGAAACCAAATTTTTGAGGACTGTGCTCCCCAGCAGTCTCTGGGCAGAGGAGCTGTAGGTATGGCATGCTCAGAGCAAAGCAAGCATTTCATTAGGCCGCGTTACCAGCTCGTCCACTGACCCACTGTCACCTGCGCACAATCTGAGAAATACCCTGCAGGCTTCATGCTCGTGCAGAAACCCCAAGCTGACTTGCTGAACTGCTAATACTGTGTACAAGTATTGGTACTATGTACTAATTGACATACCAGTCAATAGAGGTGTGTATTAACTATTAGGGTGTTATTACTTTAGGAAAAGATTTCTTTGCCTGAAGAAATAACCCCCATGGCAAATGTTAAGTGTTCCTCCACACAGGTAGGTTGCTGTCTCCTCCTCTGATGCTGTACTCATCAGCATCTCCTTCTCAGCCAGCATACTAAACACAGATATTGAGAGAGTGAATGAAGGAAAAACAAGATAGATTTGAAAGAAACATCCTCTAGTTTTCATTGCTTTTGCTGACAAAAGAGAAGACAAAGTCTTCAGCTAGTCACAGCCTTTTGCTCAGAAGCAGTAAGCTGCTGGCTCAACTGTTATTTCACCTAATTGCACCTTTTGAGGGTAGAAGAATCCTAAATCATAGAATTATTTAGAGGGAAAAGGCCTTTAAGATCATTAAGTCCAGCCATTAACCCAGCAGTGCCCAGTCTACCACTAAACCACATCCCCAAGCGCTCCATCTACATGTCTTTTAAATACCTCCAGGGATGGAGACTCCACCACTTCCACCTGGAACAAGCCTGTTCCAGTGTCTGACAACACTTTCGCTGAAGAAATATGAAATTTAAACCTCCCCTGGTCATTTCCTCTTGTCCTATCACTTGTTACCTCTTTTCAGCTGTAGAATGCAGGGTGTTAAAGGGCAAGCAGACTTTGGCTCTTTGCTGATGTATGTGTCCAAAGCACTGCCAATACCCAGTGAGCAGGTATCTGTGCAAATATCCTGCTTCCCAAGACAGCACCACTCTGTGTCCTGAGCCATAGCAGACACTCATAAACAACTTTGTAGGAGGAGAGCCTGGGCGTGACAATTACCATGTATCCCTACCGAGATGAAAGCGCAAAGATGGCTGAGAGTCCTGGCAGGGAACTTTGTAGATCGGCATAACGGACTGAATTCTAGCACGATTGCTTGGCCTGAAACCTGGGAAAAGTAACAAGTTGTCCTGGGTTCAGCTACAACAGTCATTTTCCTCCTTCTCGGTAGCTGGTGCAGTGCTGTGTTTTTCACTTTCAGCCTGGGAACAACTCTGATAACACCAATGGTTTTAGTTGTTGCTCAGTAATGTTTACTCTGACCAAGGACTTTCTCAGTCTCATGCTCTGCCAGGGAGGAGGGGAAGCCAGGAGGAAGCAGAGACAGGACACCTGACCCAAACTGGCCAAAGGGCTATTCCATACCACAGCACGTCATGCCCAGTATAGAAACTGGGGGGAGTTACCCGGAAGGCCCAGATCGCTGCTCAGGTCGGGCTGGTATCGGTCGGTGGGTGGTGAGCGGTTGTGTCCTCTCCCCTTGTTATTCCTCTTATCATTATTATTGGTAGCAGTAGTGGTTTGTATTATACCTTAGTTACTGGAGTGCTGTTATCTCAACTCGTGGGAGTTACATTCCTCCGATTCTCCTCCTCATCCCTCCGGGAGCGGGGGGGAGGAAGAAGGCGGGGAGTGAGCGAGCGGCTGCGTGGTTCCGAGTTACCGGCTGCACTTAAACCACGACACAAGCGTTAAGCAAAGATTACATAAGATCATCCTACTCTGTTGTTCAACGTTAACTCCCCCCAGCTTCTATCCCACCATGATGTGCTGTGGTATGGAATACCCCTTTGGCTAGTTTTGGTCAGGTGTCCTGCCTCTCCTTCCTCCCGGCTCCTTGTGCTCCTCTTCACCATCAGAGCAGGAGAGACTGAAAATTCCTAGATCAGGAAAATTGCTGCTGACCACCAATTAAACTGACCACCATCATGTAAGTTCTATTACCCTGGTCGTGGGTGCATAGCACACTACCTTGTCAACTGATGATTTGCCAAGATCATCCAGTTATTAATGTTCTTTCAAAAGGTTCATTCTCAGATGTGGGATCTTATATCAGTGTGAGGCACTTGTCCTTTGAAAGCCTTTCTGTACTGGCTTTCATGGTAAAACTCCCTTTACCATGTAAAAAACTTGAGCACTTCTTCTCTCTCATGATAATGCAAAGCGTTTGACACTGTCCCACATGACATCCTTGTCTCTGAGCTGGAGAGACATGAACTTGATCGCTGCATCACTGGGTGGATAAAGAACTGGCTGGATGGCCACACGCAAAGATTTGCGGTCAAAGGCTCAATATCTGACTGGAGATGGGTAACGAGTGGTGTGCCTCGGGTCAGCGTTGGCACCGATCCTGTTTCAACATCTTTGTTGGCGATGTGGACAGTGGGATTGATGCGCCCTCAGCAAGTTTGCTGACAACACCAAGCTGTGTGGTTCGATTGATATGCTGGAGGGAAGGGATGGGATCCAGAGGGACCTGGATACACCTGAGAGGCGGGCCAGTGCCAATTCATGAAGTTCAACAAAGCCGAGTGCAAGGTCCTACACCTGGGTCGGCACAACCCCAGGCACAGCTACAGGCTGGACGGAGAAGAGATTCAGAGCAGCCCTTTGGAGAAGGACTTGGGGGTGTTGGTCAAGAAACTGTACCTGGGCCAGCTTCAGTGTGCACCCACAGTCCAGAAACCAACTGTGTCCTGGCAGCATGACTGGCAGGTCGAAGGAGGTGATCCTGCCCCTGTACTCTGCTCCTGTGAGCCCCAACTGGAGCACTTTGTGCAGTTCTGGAGTCCTCCACATAAGAAGGACAAAGAACTCTTGGAGTAAGTCCAGAGGAGGCTACGAGGATGATCAGGGGCTGGAGCACCTCTCATATGAAGACAGGTTGAGAAAGTTGGGGCTGTTCAGCCTGGAGAAGAGAAGCTGTGTGGAGACCTCAGAGCAGCTTTCCAATATCTGAAGGGGGTCAATAAGGGTGCTGGCAAAGGGGCTCTTCATCAGGGACTCTAGTGATAGAACAACAGGTAATGGGTTCAAACTTAAACGGGTGAAGTTCAGGTTGGATGTAAGGAAGAAGTTCTTTGCTGTGATGGTGGTGAGGCACTGGAAGAAGCTGCCCAAAGAAATGGTAAATGCTCCATCCCTGGCAGTGTTCAAGGCCAGGCTTGACAGAATTGTGGGTGACATGGTCTAGTGTGAGGCGTCCCTGCCCATAGCAGGGGGTTGGCATTAAATGATCTTCAGGGCCTTTCCAACCCTAACTATTCTATGATTCTACCATTCAATGTACACAATGAGAGTGTCCCAATGGCAAGAGTTCTGCAGATTAAAAAAAACAACAGCAGATCAACAACTTACTACCAAGTTGAAGCATTTTCAACAAGAAAATGTTAGCTACTGATCATAAGGTGCTTTTTCAAAACATTCAGCTTATTTGTACCTACTCTGCTTTCTTTCACTATCTTGTAGTATTTTTCCAGGAAGATGCAAGCAAAGCTATGAAATTGTTGCTAGATAACCACATAAATTCCTATGATGAGCAAGCAGCAGTAATAAAGCAGTCATAAAAAGACTTCCTCTTATGTAAACTCAGAAGAGAGTAGGACAATAAATCAGTGTGAAAAATAGTCTAATTGTCCATGCCTGCGTTTCATGCTCTGCACATTTTATGTGGAAGGAGATGATAGAGGTGTTTTGTGTCATGGTGAAAAACCTGTGATAAAGTACCAGAGGGATGGTAAAACAGTAAAACACCGCCCGTTGCTGCTGGCCTGGGCAACATGGAAGCTTTTCT